TATAAAATAAATTCCACATCATACTCAAAACACCAGACAACACTTCATAATATGATTCTCTTCTCTGCTTGGATTCCATTTCTTAAATCAAATAAAATAAGTTAAACTTTTAAGTGTGTGGAAAGAAAAGGACACACACATGGATTTAAAGCCAGTGATTCAGTCGCGGTAGAGTGGGGAACCTGCCCGGAAACAATGCCACAAAGCCCTGGCTACGAGACTGAACTTGACCCCATCCGCGACTCGAGAGTTTGGGCCAAATTCTACAATTGTCCCTGGTGCCAATTCACCACTAAGAGCAGAGGGAGCGCTGGGATTTGTAGGTGAGGAAGGGACTATAGCTTGGGATTTTCAAAAGAAGTTTCAATGGGATTTTGTCACCCGAATCCTTGAGGCTCCTTTAAAAAACGCCAGTCCTTGTGAAGAAAGGAAGAAACCTTGTTTTAGAGTGTGTTCTTTTGTTGGAGTGTGAAAGAGCCAACTGCTGCATGAGCTCCCTAGTGGCCGAGGGCCACACTGCAGGCAGCCTGCCTCAGTTTCCCCTATTGGATTGAGCAGATACAATTTCACCCATGGATTTTGGAGTCAAAAATCCCTTCCTTTTGGACTCGGTTTATTACTATAATAAAAACTCCAAAGAATAATCAAAATCCCAAAACAAAGTCCATCCAAAAGACCACACAGAACAAAGGTTCCTCCTGCCTTTCTGCCTGGGGCCTTTCCTGATTTGGCAGCCCGCCCCTCCCCCCTCCGTCCCCGCCCCCCGGCCCTACCTGGCTGCAGCCTCAGTCCTAACTCCCAGGGCTTTCTGCTGGACGAGCACTGAGCATTCCCCCTTCACTGCAGCCTCGGCTGCTCTTCGGGGGGCAATCACCTGATCCCTCCCAGGATTGGCTCCTGTGTAATCAGGGTTGGCTGGTCCCAGGCCCTTCCCTCCTTAGGGACGAGCCAGCCTGACGCCGCACAGTCCAGCGGAGAGGCTCCATTAGTAGGGTTTATCTGTCGGGCAGTGCCGTGTGGTGACTCGCTCACCGGGCTGGGCCGGGGACACCTGGGCTCTAGTCCCAGGTCTGCACAAACCTGCCATATGCAGACATGAGCCGCCTCAGCCCAGAAGGCCCCGCCCTGTATTTACTGTGCGGAATTACAGGGAAAGGAAACCAGCCGCATCTCATCCAAAACACCTTCCTCTGCAACTGCATGAGAATAGCTAGTCGTGGTGCCCAAGGGCTGCAAGTAACAATGAGCCCATTAGGTACAAAGGAGAGTAAAGAAACAAACCAGTGTTTTAATTTCACTTTCTTTCCCAGGATTAATTTCACAGCAGGCCATAGAAGAATATAGATATTTAATCAAATATATTAAGACGTTCATAAAGTCTCCTTTCATCTCACTTCCCCTGCCTTAACAAACTCTTTGCCCCCCGCCCCAACACCGCCCCCCACCACAAAACAACCCTGTGCTGTTGTGGTTCAGTGTGGCATCCTCTCTAATAGACCATGTTGCTTCCTGGCTGTTACCATTGCACTTAATGGAAACACTGCTGTGGCATATTCAAGCACCGAGCCCTGATGTTAGTGCTTCAAATTACTTCAGGGCCTAATGCCCAGGCTCCTACCCCTGCAATGGGACTGGAATCTGAGTAGGAGTGGGACTAGGAATTTCAGTGTGAACAGGAATGGGGCGGTGAGTAGAAAGGAGCAGAGGAATGGGAGTGTCATTGGAAATGGGTATAGGTGTGTGCAGAGTGACTAGGAATGGGAATGCAAATAGGAATATAAGGGTTAATGGGAACATCAGCATGTGAGCGAGTGACTATGGGGATATTAAAGAGAACATGCGTCAGACTGGACATGGGAATGGAAAGATGAGCGTGAGAGTGAATGTGTTATACCTATATGAATACAGGTGGCAATGGAAATATTTATTATTATTGTTTTTGTTGTTGGTTGTTGTTTGTGGAGATGGTGATGGAGTTGGGGGTGGTTGTGGCCCCAGTGCCTAAGGCCTCCAATCACAGACCATGACTCCAGAGTGCTAGGCACTGTACAAAGACAGAACAGATGGACTCTCTCTTCCCCAGTGAGTTTACAATCTGGGTACAAATGGGAAGTGCGGTATGAGTGGGAATGGGGAAAGGAATGGGAACGTAATCACCAATATGAATCTCGATTTTTAATAATTATCTCCCTTCAGCGCTGCCTTCATCCTCACCTGAAGAATGACTCCCAGACACAGGGCGTTCGCCACATGAGGGAATTTTAACTCTCCAGCGGGTGTCCCAGCCCAATGCAACTCTGTGACCCTCCCCCTCCCCAGTCACTGACTCGCTGTTCTCGTGGGCGGGGGCTCCGGAGACCCGTTCCCCACGACCGCATACTGTGATGCCAATCAGGCCCTACATTCATAACAGGGAAATTGGGCTCCCGTTGGGCAGCAGCTTCTTTACCGGCCTGGCTGGGCGCTGCAGAGACACAGGAAGGGAGGATGTGACTCCCCTCTGAGCCCTGGAGCAAGAAATTCACATCATCAAGGGAAGGAATTTGCATGCATTATGGAGGGGGGTGTGACTATGCAAATAGGGGTGACAGTTTCCTGTTTAAATCTGTGCCTCTCTCTGCCCAGGCTGCACCCGGAGAGACAATCCGCAGCCCCTGGGTCTGTGCAGTTACCAGCCAGTCCCCTGAGAACTTTCCCCTCTGAAAACCGGGAAAATGAGACTTTGGATCGCAATTGTTTTCACTGTAGCAGCTTTGGGAGGTATTTTGTTCTCCTGGTTAAATGGCAGAGCCCAAAGACTATAACATTATTGTTGTTTTTATACCCATACTTGTAACATCTCTTTATTTGTAGGTGCCCGGTCCCAGGTGCAGCTGGTGGAGTCTGGAGGGGATGTGAAAAAGCCCGGAGACTCTCTCCGCCTCTCCTGTAAAACCTCCAGGTTCACCTTCAGCAGCTACTACATGGATTGGGTCCGACAGGGTCCTGGCAAGGGTCTGGAGTGGGTGGCTGAGATAAAGAGCGATGGATCGAGCCAGTGGTACTCCCCGGCTGTTCAAGGGAGATTCAGAATCTCCAGGGACAATTCCGACAACCTGCTGTATCTGCAAATGACCGGCCTGAAACCCGAGGACACCGCCCGGTATCACTGTGCTAGACACACAATGACACTAACACAATCAATGCTCGTACAAAAACCAGAGCTGCGGAACTTCCCGCGCCTGCCGCATGGGGGCAGCAACGACACAAGCAAAACTCTCCTGTCTTGGGCGCAAGAGGGGGAAGGGGAGTCAGGACTGAAAACTCTGACATCGCGGATTAACTCTTTAATGTCCTGACTACATCCCCCATCCCAGCGCAGAGCAGAGCGCTGCTCGCCTCACACAAACGGCTCTTCCCGTTGGAGTTAACGGGGGATCTCCGGGAGCGAAGCAACGAGCAATTGACCCCTTCTCCGTATGGCTAAACCTGCCAGGGAACATTTCCCTCTGGGCACCGCACAGTTCAGTGGAGCCGGTCACTGCCGGGAAGGGGATTCAGCCCCAACTCTCTGCCAGAGCCAGCGGGTGTCCCAGCCCCATGGGACCCCGTGAGCCGGCCCCTCCCCCTCACAGCCCCGCTGCTCGTGGCCCGGAGCTGAGATTCACCCTATT